GAAAATTAAGATGGATATCTGTATCAATTTGCATCTCATCTGGGCCCCGGTGATTTATTTACTGTCTTTATCGACATATTTTCAATTTGAACGAAAAAAAAAGAGAAAAAATTTAAATCAAACCCACCCAACTCGATCTAAATTTCCATAAATCAAGCCAAAGTCAACACGAAAAAAAAAGATCAAAATGAAGAGATGAAAGCAAAACTGAGCTGATTTCAATTTGTAAGTTAAATTACCCCGCCAGCTCCATATGTTCCGACAAAGTGGCTATAGAGTCAATTTTCGTGTTCTGTGTCGACAACTCACCAAATGCTATCAAAGATCAAGGTTTTTTTCTGGCATATTTTACATATTTTTATGCGTATTTCATACACTACTCAACGTATTTGTGTCCCGTGTAGCCTTGTGCAGAAAGAGGGTGAAAACGGAACAAGAAAGGTGGCAAAAAATGTCATTCAATCCTTTAGACCAGTCTCTCTCTCTCTCTGTGCAATACACTCACTGTACAGCATATGCACTGAATCCGTTCGCATTCAAAGGGGAAACAAGAAAAGTTTATGTTTTTATGCTATGTTTACTCTTTAGCAGTTTCGTTTTTAAGCATGTGTTTGTGTATGTTTTGGAAAGTCCTGGTTACACTGAATGGAAAGTGTTGCTTCGTGTGCATGAAACAGTACATTGTCGTACAGTACGAAACCCTTTATGTAGGTAGTTGATTTTTGACAAAATGCTGCAGTCAACGGGCTACCATTGTTCGTTTATATGACACTCAATATAACCCGATACATGAGGCCTTTTTGCAAACCATTTTTGCACACTGAACCAACTCTTTGCCAAACTCTTTCCTTCTCTCTTTGGCTTTCTCCTTTTCGTTCTGTTTCGGGTTAAGGGTTTTACCTGCCGTCGCCTAGAAAGTGAAGCAAAGATGCCGATAGAGGGAAAACGAAAGAAAGGATTCCGGACAAATGGCAAAAACAATGGAACGATGACAAACCCATTCACACGACAATTGGATTGCAATTAAAGTGCAATAAAAGTTTATTGCCTCGATGTAAATCATTTTGCCACCAATAAAAATGAATTCGGAAAAGTAGAAGGATTGAAAAGTGAAACAGGCACCGAACTAGGCCCAAACAATTAGTGAAATGCAAGAGTTAAACAAATCGTAAAACTTCGTTGTGCTTGATGACAATTTCATTTAATCCTTTTACTTTTTATAACCAACCTGATCGTAAAGCAATTAAAATGAGCGAATTCTTCTTACCCTTGCACTGGGAGAAAACTCCGTGTGCCTGCTTGCAATCGATCATTTCGCACTGCGAATACCGACCGCTCTTTGACATGCCTTGCATTGGCCAAACACCATTTTCCACATTTGAATATTGACCTCAGCAGCCAGTTGTTTGTAATTGGATTCTGGCCGTTTAGAAAAGGATTAAACAAATATTAGCTTTGTCTCTCGTTCCTAGCGCAAAGGCTAATTTTCCAAAATCCAAATGTTTTAATGAATTTAATCTTGTTTGCGTTCTAAAGGGTTAATTATCAGTTCGCTTCACTTCGTCTCCTAAGCTGTAGTTCCGTTTCGACTGAAACTATTGTGCCTTAGCTAAATATTTCCACGAATTTGAGACGGAACGAATTTTTCAATGAATACTCGGAACTCCAATCAAATTGAAATGTTTGTCAATCCGAAGATAGACAGCTCTCACCGGAGAAAGGAGTGACGTTTTGGTTGCAAATGCAAATAATTTGTGAAATTTGTTTTATTGATGGAAGATTGACATTTCAAACTTCAATTGGTAACTGGGCGTGATTGATGCGTCACAGTGAAACTCTCTTCTGTGAACGTCGTTAATGCAATCATTTGCGTTGGAATGCTCATGCGGTAATGCAAATGCGTTGAGAGAAACACCAGAACATTATGAACATGAACAAATGAACATCATCAATTGACCCATGCAAGTGAAGGTCAACGACGAAACGATGATGGTCACAGTGTGATCCGAAATGCGTGAAAAATCAAAATTTGAGCGTCTCAACTCTCAAGGCTCAACGAAACGTTGTGAACAAATTGGGTGAGTTGAAGTTTCGTTTGTATTTTGTATTTGTCAAGCAGAAAATTCGATGTTTTGATTTTTTCACAAAGTTGAAAAATGTAAAACGACCGTTCCTTCTAATGGGACCTTGAAACAATTCAGAAAACGAGTAAATTGGAAGAGAAAAACAAATCCAGTGATTATTTGTTCCGTAGTTTGCATTTCCAGTTGCTTAGAATGTTTGGGCTGTGTAGTTGAGATCGAAACAAACGCTAAACTCATTCAAAGAATCGTCACTCGGACACAAGGTAGTGTGCTTCTACTTCTCGAAAATTATTAAAAACTTTATGAATTTATTGCACATTTTATTTTACTTTTTTCACTACCGGATACTTTTAAACTACTCACTTTTTCTTCTTCTCTTCTCTTACAAAGCAAAGCATTCAAAAGACATGCAAAACGATGGCATTTGAACGAGTAACATGTCGGAATTTCACTCGTCTCTTTACTCTCTCGAAGCCTTCTTCGTCTCACTCTTTCGTTTTCTTTTTTCTCTCCTTTTTCTTTCGACCCATTCGAAAGTCGCTTGTCGAAGAGCTCTAACACACAGGCAAAAGAGATACGTACTTTCGCAGCAAATCGTTCATTGTTCGGCATGCACTTTAGTTAGTAAACAAAATTACTTTATTGTACAAATTAATAAATAGTTTTATTTGAGCCCATTGTACTCGCAAAGGTGAATTGAGTCCGTATCTGCCTCTCTGTCTTTCTCTTGCTTGCTTCAGTACAGCGAAAGAAAAAGAAATATCATATACTGGAAAGGACAGAAGACAGTTTGGTGACAATAAACGGCCATATTTCTGTATTTGAGAAAGCCTGTTATGAATCTGTTGAAAGCGAAGTCTCATGCAAAAATATGGAGGAGATTCAAATGTTTTATTATTTTATGATTTCCATAATGAAAAAAAAAAAACAAGAAGGAGCAGAGACTTGAATGTGACATTTTTGTGATGTTTGCACCCGGTTTTTCGTCAAAGGACCGCTGCCGAAAGTTGACATCGTGCACAATATTGAAAATGAAAACAGTAGTTCACAGTTGACCGTCGAGCGCGAAACAAGAAAGTGATATCTTCCTGTTTAGCTTCTGAAAATAATTTTTTTTTTTGCTCAATTTCAAATCAGTGTATTTTGTCCAAAAAGCCACCAGTGAATATCGAAAATACGAATATTTTCTGGTGTATCATTTTCCAATCATCGTTAAAGTTTTAATACTCCAACTTAAATCAACAAATTTGTTTTTATTTGGATTTAAAATATTAAACTGCGCAATCAACGAATCTATCTGCCTAAAATATCAGCATAGGTAAGTTTCACAACAATAAAATGTTGTTTGTTTTATTTTCGTTTGTGTGATTGGTGTTTTGCCGCGTTTATAACTTGATGAAGTGCCGATATTTATGCATGTTTTATGATAACTAAATAAGAAATAGCCTATTTGATTGGGAAAGAAAATCGAAGGAAAGTTGAGAAAAAATTAAATAAAGAAATATTACCTGAATCCGTTAGTGCGCAACGTTTGTTTCGAAATCAAATGCACATAAATTTAATTTGACGATGCCTTACTTACATTTCACCCAAAAAAAAGAGTAGCTGAAATGGGCACGCAACCGAACAGAATGCGAAAACAATAACTCATCAAATGAAAAGCGGTTGAAATTATCGAAATGTGCCTGGTGTTCGGTGGGCAATTCACAAAGTTACCGTTTGCCGCTGTGGCATCGGTATCTCCAAATAAATAAAGTCAAGCGAAGAGAAGAGAAGAGAAAGAAAACCACCGTTCGGAAACAATAGGGAAATTAAAATAAATCAACAAAATATCATAAAAACGGTTCCTTTCATTCCAAAAAAAAAAAACAAAAAACAAAAATTATGGACCATCGATCAAAAATTTGCTCTCTTTTCGTTCGTGTGTTAAATGGCCTTAAATGCTTTCTCCAACAGTTTCTTTTCGTTACAAGGATACCGACCATTTCCATTCTTACCTGATCCTCTCGTTTTTCAAACGAAATCATTCAAACCAACGGTTGACCAATAATAATTTTTGGTTGGTTTGTTAGTCCAGTAGAGAGAAAAAAAAATAAACAGCCAAAAATTAGAACCACATGAACACCATATGTTTTTTTTTTTATAGATTTATTTTTATTTCTTAATGCGGAAGAATAATCATGTTTGAGAATAGTTTTTCGCCGCATGTTTCATGATAAAACCTTACCTATGCCAAGCGGCTTTAACAACATAAATCGAGAAAGAAAAAACGCAATTCCCTAAGCCATCGGCATATGTTTGAAAAGGTTTGGCCGCCTAAATACTGAAACAAAGCCAATCAACACGGAAATGTAGTTAGCTTTCAACGCAATTGCTGACGACAGTATTCACTTCCTCACCAATTGATTGTTGCCGTTGACAATTTTTTATTTGTGTAGCTGTTTGCACAGAATAAATTCAGCCCCTCGTATTTTTTTTCCCTTGGTTTCTCTTCTACTTCATTTTACATTGCCATCGCTCAGTATATAGACGTTAATCAAATAAAATATCAAAAAAAAGGAAGAAGAGCAACGGTTGTTGTTTTCTCTTTGATTGTTACGTTTGGTTGCAGTAATTATAGCACGCGTCACTTGCTTCTAAACCTGTATAGTTTTGCTCACGACCAACGAGATCCGTTGCGTACGTGCACAACAGCAATCATTCATCCAATCGAAAATATGAGCCGACATATAAGTAGGCGTTGACAAATCCCCACCAATGGTAGTGTATGTGTCTTTGTTCCACTGTTTTGCCTTTGTTCCCTCTTCTCGTCTCATTCGCTCGCTCGTTCGTTCGTTCGTTCGTTCGGTTGTTCGTTTGTTCGTTCATTCGGTGTGTGTTTTATTTTTATTTTTCGGTTCGGCAGCCGTACATTTTCGTGAGGCAGTGCATGACTTCTTTGGAAGCAATTTTCGTTAGTAGCAAATCAGTTGGGATCGACAATTAGTCGTCTAAGCACCTAGAGTAGAGCGAACTATCATTAAAATAAATTTTTTTCAAATTCTTTTCTACATTGGAACAAGAAGTACTGAAACCAAAACTCATTCGCTCTCGACATCTCAAACTATCCTCACAACATTTACTAAATATTTATTGATATTTTTTGGTTTTGGATTTTTTTCTCTCTCAAACGAAAAGTGTTTTTCAACCTAAAAGAAAAAAAAGAATTTCAGCGATTTTTTCTAAAGTGAATTCATCGAGTTTTTTCTTAAAACAATTCAATTCAAGTTTTTTGAAGAAAACAAAAAGTTGTCATTGCTGAAGCACATCAAGAACTTAGACAAAAAAAAAAAACGTTGCGTTTTCAAAGTGCGATCGAAATTAGTGAGAAAGTTTTTTGGAGTTTTGTACAATGTCGTCAACTTCTTCATGCAGTGAAATCAGCATAGACGATATTCAAACCAGGAGTCAAGCAGGTGTGTGTGTGTTTGTGTTTGTGTTTGAGATAGATGCTGTTTCTAGTGGTTCGAATTGATCGCGTTCTTTTTTATTGTGCAAAAACAAAACACAGCGAAACGAATTGTTTTGACAAAAAAACAATAGGTTTACCAAATTTTATTTGCTCAACAAATGAAAGTCAATTGCTCTGAAAAATCGTCTTGTTCTTCCCGCCGTTCGTTTGTTTCATCAGTTTTTCTGTTGTTGTTGTTTAGTTTTATTCAAGTTTTGAATGGAACAAAACCCATAAAAAGTTGCATGGTTTCGTGTTTTGTTTTTGTCGTCATCTGAAGAAGTATTTGGCAGCGTGCAGCACATTGCACGTATCCATTGTGTGAGTGTGTGTGTCTCTCTCTCTGTGTATGTATGTATGTATGTGCATAAAGAATAAACGCAAACTTATATGCCGTAAATGTAACAAATGCGTGTATGTCATATGGCCCGCTGTGTTTTCAAGCTGTGCACAAGTCACCCACACGCGGCTTCGTCCTTTTCCTCAATATCGTTTGCACTATTCTGTGTTTTATTTTAATGGTTTTGCATATTCTTAATGCGCACTGTGCCTTTGTGCACGGAACAGAAAAGAAACACACAAATTTAAGACGAATTTCGGGAAATTGAAAACACACGAGACAAAACACGTCAACCGCCTTGTACACAACAATCACACATATTCTTCTTTTTCTTCTCAAATTTTCCTTCTTTTTTTTTCATCTGCAATGGGTTTTCTTTTATTTAGTTTTGTTTTTCTTTTCTTTTCTTTCGCCTTTTGCGGAAATGATTTTCGGGTGGTCATTTTAATTACCCTTGTATATATTCAACATTGACTAACGTTCCTTTTTCTTTTCTTTTTTCTTTTCTTTTTTGTCTCCAATAGATTTTGCGTCTGCTTTGGAAATCAATTTGAAACAAGAGCGATCTTCAAGTATTTCACCAATGCTAACGCCACCACACACACCGATCGAGGACGCATCAACATTAGCCAATATCGCCCGCCAGCAGCACTTGTACGAAATGGAACTCTTGAGACAGCAAACATCGCAATACCATTTGATGCAGGCCAAACACGAACATGAGAGCCCAATGCCAGCAGCATTCAATCATTTGCACCATATGCCCGCCGCCGCTCTGAATGTCCATCAGCACCATCAGCAACAGCATCGCCTGTGGTTGCAATCACAAGTACAAAACGCCACATTGAACATGCAAAGCTACACACAATTGTACCCAGTTATGCCAAATCCGTCTGCAAACCCTTTGATGGACCAATGGATTCGTAAAGTGGCATTCCACCAACAGCAGCAACAGCAACATCATCAACAACAACAACAGCAAATGGGTCAACGCGGTGGCCAACGTATGGCACATGCAGCTATGCGAGTTGGACCAATCAAAGTGGCCGGACCAAATGGAACACGACCAAAGAAGCAGTTTATCTGCCGCTTCTGCAATCGCCAATTCACCAAAAGCTATAATTTACAAATCCATGAGCGTACCCACACCAACGAACGTCCATTCCCGTGCAATATTTGCGGCAAAGCTTTCCGTCGACAGGATCATTTGCGCGACCACAAATACATCCATTCAAAGGACAAGCCATTCAAGTGTAACGATTGCGGTAAGGGCTTCTGCCAATCACGAACACTGGCCGTTCACCGTGCTACACATTCCGAAGACAATGGCATCAAATGCCCGGTGTGCGATCGAACATTCACACAACGCACCGCACTCAAGACACACATGCAATGTCACACATCAGCCGCCACCGAAGCCGCATTGAAATCAATGCCAAGCGCAAAAATTTCATCAACAACACCATCAGCTCCAGTTCTCGATCTATCACATAAAATCACCATTGACACACCATCGACCAGCAACCTAAAACCAAAAAGAGGTTTCACAATAGACGAAATCATGCAACGCTAACCTGTAAAATGTTTCTCTTTGAACAATAATAACAAAACTGTTTTATTTTTCCTTTAGAAAGCAAACAAAAGATAACCAAAGCTGGTAAACATTCTCAAGACTGAAACAATTTATTTGAATATAAACAGCAAACAATCTATTATTTGTTATTACTTTTAATTTTTCAATTTCGCTATCGGCTAAGTAATGTAAATAGACACAGAGTTCGAAAGAAAGAAGAAAAAAAACGGCGGAATTTTAAGAGTTTAGAGTAACAATGTTAAGAGAAAATTACACTATATAAATGTTAGAAATAATAAACACCGACACAAAAAATTGTATAAAAATAAATCAAAATATATCTATTTTATTTGTAGTATAGTGAATAGTTTCGAAACAAGTTCAATCTCTAATTGTCCACATTGCATATATATTCATTGTATCCAAAAGCATAAATTTACAAAACAACAAAACATTACATCAATTATTTATTGAATAAAACTGAGTTACCATAAACATATGAATGAAAAAATAAAACACGAATTTGTTTTGATTAAATGAAACATAATGACGGTCCGTCACAGCAACCGCTTGAGAGATATATGTGAGAAAGGCGTGAGTTAAATTTTCTTTGCATCTATTTGTTTGTTTTGCTGTATGGTAGTTTCAAGGGTGACCAAAATAGATTCTCAAACCAATCCAGGTCAGAGAAATGTAAATGCGCGGAATAAAAAAAAGAAAAATCCGTGCATTGGCTCAAAACAATAATATTCAAATATGCATACAATTACAAAACAAAACATAACATCGCAAAATATCAATTATTTTTCAATTATTTATCCATTTGTACACGGGCACTGTTTGTGTGTTTGTGTTTTTGTTTCGTTCAATTTGGCCACTATCAATTTATTATGTTTTGCTAGGAGCTGAATCGGAACGTAATGAGCCTTGGCAATCATCGTACACACTCGGCATCATGGAATTATACTAAATACTAATTTCATGTCATAGAATGACTATTATTGTTGATTGCAGCTTTTCAGCGTCGATTGTACACACTTACAGTACTTTGGGATAAATATATATATGATATACAAGTGCAGAAGAAACTATTAAATGATTTCAGCTTAATATTTAATTCAACAATCGACTTTACATTCGACGACGGCTGCGGTTACTGCTGCTGTGGCTGCTAACTTATCTCAAAAACCATTTCTTGTTACCTTTCAGCTTGAGCACTTACAAAAAAATGTGTATGTAGCTTTAAAATGCTTTTTAATCGCTTCAAAAAGATAGACTTTAAGGTTTCGCTCATTGTTTTTCAATGAACTCTATTTTGATCGGACCATGATTAAAGACTCACCTTTTCCACGTAACCCGTAAATTAAATACTACAATTATGATAAATAGCTATGGAAATTCAAATTATTCAAGCAATATTTTGACACACTCTGGACACCTAATGTGTCTCTTTTACTAAACAAACTACTTTCAAATATGGGTTTTTGAAAAACAATGAATAAATTTTCGCTGGTCTTCTAGGAAACGGGGCTTCTTACTCAATCATTTATTTCCACATTCAAGCGAGTTGCTCGTTTTTCATTCGCCTCCATCGTTGATTTCAAGGCATGAGCAACAATGTGCGCGTTCAACGTACAGCAATTACGTGAACCATTCCGCATATAGACGTGAATATCCGAATGCAAATTGATCCGCTCAAGTGATATTCCCGTGTGCAATTTCGTCGGTTAATTGTAGTTCGGAATCATTGATTGCAGCCAACGATTGACAGATCGATTGCTTGATTGAACCAATTACTGTAGACCGCGCCGATTTCCCGAAATGGCATCGAAAAACATTGCATTGAAGCCGTAATTGCCTGGGAAAACGAATCGAATCGGTCTGGTTTCGTTTCGTTTCGTTTCGTTTTGTTGCATTGGCAATAGATGTGTGCAAATGGTGTGCCAATTTGAATCGAAATTCGAATCATGAAATCGAGAGCCAAACATTGACGTTTCGTTTGGTGGATCCACCAATCAACGAAATCCGATTAAATCAAGAGAAAAGGGAAATAGAAAGCTTCAAAAACGTAGGCAATGTAAAGCAAAGCGTTTGACTTGATTTCAGTCAACATTTCAGTTCGATTGTACACTCTTGATTCCATGCCCACTGAAAAACGGACAAACCAAACTATCAATCACAATATTGGACAGTTTTTTTTTCTCTCTCTGTGTTTTGAAAGGAAAACGAATTAACTCACTATGTAATTACGAGACCAAAATCATTTCGTTTCAACGTTTTCACAATGCTCAACAGACATCATTCTATCTGAAAACGATTCTGATTACCAAACTGGAATTAAACCACGATTTTCGGTAAAGTTCATACAGACGAACGAAAAAAAAAAAATAGATCGACCTGTATTACGACCGATCTATGCAGAAGAGAAGAAGAAAAAAAAACAACACTGCCACAAGAACCAAATGAGCGACGCTAACCTTTTTGGTTTATTTTGATTGCGCTGTTGACTTTATCCTTTTTCACTTATGTCTATAATCAATCGTTGAATTGCTTTAAATCACCGTTTTAATATAAATACTTAATAATAGCTATGCGACTGGAGAATATTTTTTAGGAAATGAACGCAAAACAAAGTCACACCAATGATGCAAGCGGCGCGGCGATGTGCCAGACCAACACAACCAGAGATTTTAGCCAGATTGAGTGAATTGCCGTTGCGTGGAGTTAATCGATGGTTTTGGGGTTTTAATCTAAAAAGCCTTAATTAAGTGGAATAGCATCAAACCTGCATCATAATTTCCAAACGTCGAAAACTTGAAAACGACTCTCGTTACGAGATCGCCAAAGCGATGACGATGCATTTCGATCAATTTAAACTAGTTTAAATTATAATTTGTCTTTTTGAATCGAAGACGTCAATTTTGATATAGCACTGCAATGATGCGGCAAATACACAGCCACAGAACGGCCCTTTTTTGTGCGAATTCCAAAGTTGTTGGAATTTTTGAACGAGCCACATTTTTGATTTACTGCATTAAATCCACCGATGCATTCCATTCGGTATGCTGCAGCATTGTTCTTACTCTCTGATTCTTCATTCAGAATTACGCGCGGTGCAACAAATTGGCCGTATGGCTTTCAAAGGAAATATTTTCATTCGGATAATTCGGCGCTTGCACAATGCGCACAAAAAAAAAATGCATAAAATTTGTAGGTTGAGTTGATTGATTGCCTTGGCCGACACATTCGCGTGTGATCATACTGGCTGAAATTCCTGTGTACATCCTTTTCCAGGTTCGCTTTTTTCTTATAAGTATCAACCGGGAAGATTGTGCTTTTTTCTCTTTGTAAATATTATAGAATTATGTTATTCCATTTTTTTTTCTCGAACGGAAATCGAGCATTTTTTTTCGTTTCGCTAAAAACAACAATCATATATATACACTTGTCAAATGCGGTGGAAAAAAAAACATAAAACTAAACGTTTGGGATCAAACCATAAAAGTCATATATTGACGCAAAAATAGAGGAAACCTTTTTTTCGGGTCCCGAAAAAAACGAAGATGTGAAGTGCGAAAATCATTCGAAGTTATTAAGTGAAATAGCATTTTTACCGACCATAAAAGTTGTGGAAAGAAAGAGAGAGAGAGCCGCAGAAAGAGATATTTGGCAGATAAAAAGATGCAACCGCTGATATGCATTAGATTGCTTTTTTCTGTGGCTAAAAGCGAGCAAGAGAAGGAAAAAATACACAGTTTTGAAATATCGTTGACCTGGTGTATGAAATTGGTTGAATCTTATGATTCCACAGAAGCCAATTAAATCAATTCGTTAGGCTTCTCTTTCTTCGGCTCGATGACGACGACGACGACGACTGGTTCCAATGATCCGTTGCGCTGATTTGATCTCGAGAGCCCGAAAAAACCAATATATAATCTTCAGATAAAATGTGAATGGAAAAAAAGGAAAACAAAAATATTCTTTCTATTCAAATATGACTTCGGTAGCTAAGCGGGTGACCACAACTCATGGATCGAAACCAAAATAATCTTCATAATTATACATTTGGCAGAAGTGATCAAACGTTCAAGCAAGATTGAATGAACAAATTGTATACTTTCTTGAATTGGAAACTTTTGTTTCTTTGTAGTTTTAACGACCTAATGAGTGTGAGCCAGAGCGCGTTCGCCCCGAAACAACATCAATCGAGTAATGTTCCAAACAATCAAGGGGAAAAAAATGTAACAATTCCGAAATATCATAAGCGCAACATCTCGAATACGTCTACCTCCGCCTTAAATATAGGTATTCAATAATAACAATCTTGGAGAGAGAGAGAGAAAAATATACCAAAAGAGGTCAAAATATCACATTAAATATGACTGAAATGCAGGTATTGCTGCTCGTTTTTTTCTTTTCGTCTTCGGTTCTGGGTCTCATCTCGGTGAGTATTTTTTTTTTCTTTTTTTCAACCGCAATCGACGCGATTACCGCTACCAAACTATCATTGTTATTGTTGTGGCCGATATTTTTTTCTACACTCCTTAATGCTTAGAATATTTAGATAGAAATAAAAATCATCCCAAATCTATGTAATTATTAAATCTCTAAATATATGATATTTCTGATAAACTATTTATCCTTAATGATATATGTGCGTCTATAGAACTATTGCGTCGCTATTAGCCAGCGTTTCTCTCTTCGTTCGTTCGAGTTCCTGCACCGTTTTTTCTTTATGGCTACTTTATTACTGCCACTATAACTTTGTGATTTTTTTGTTTGACGCGCAGTGTGTATCGAATGATGATCTTCCCACAGTAGTGAGTGCAATGGCAGAAAATCCTATTGCGATGAAGGCGATTTCTTTTCGTTAGCTAAATTATAATCATAAAGTTATTTCGTACATAAACTTCACAGTTTAATTAAGCAAAAAAAAAAACACAGTTCCTATCAACATGGCGTTTGAGTTGTATGTCTTTGCCGTCGTCACTTTGTTTCTCTATCTACCGCCCGCCATCATTGGCCAAAGAGATTACCAATATTTACTCAAAATATCGTCGAACATTGTTGAACACGGCATCTGCGTGTGCATTTAGTGCGGCACACACAAACAAAACCATAAAACTACGGTCGGCATCGGCAGAAAATGCGTACCCAAAATATATATATTCCTTTTGAGAATGTGTCCGAAATTGTGCTACCTTCATATATAATTGAGTTGAGCCGATTGGAAAACCACCAGCAATACGTGTGATTTAACCCGAAGACGTATTACTTTGTTCAAAAGCATTACTGTCCATTTATCACAAATTATATTGGCGGCGATCAGTGCCAAAGTGCCACATTACATCAGCGCGTTAAACTTTCATTTGCTCTGGGTTTTTCTTTCTCGCTCACTCACTCTCTCCGTCCGAATGCCCATTTCTACCTTGTTAAGAAGATAACAAAAAAAAAAAAATACACACTTTTCCAATTGTTTAGTGTTAAGTATTTTGTAAAATATATGCGTACTAAATTATTATTAAACTCTTCAAATAACTTATCATTATCCATTGACTTGAGCAGAGAGGCCTTGGAAACCACAATTGGCATTTGTTCACTAAGCTAATGAACAAATAAGCGTAATGGTAAAACGGCGTTCGCTTCACTTTTTCCGTTGTATGTTTGCGATTTTTGT